AAAAATGAATTGCTTATTAAATATACGGAATTTGTATACGGAATCTATAGAAACGTACATAAAATGTATACAAAACGTATCCTTTCCGTATACATATTTCTTATAGGGCATAAAAGTGGTCATGCATTAAATACATAGAAAATTTATCCCCTGCTCACTAATGATTATCTAGAATTTTTTTTGCCATTTTATAAATTAGGTATTCAGTATAATAACTAAGTTATAGTTTGTAATAGTTATATATGGTCTAATTGAATATAATTTATCAATTTTTTATTGATGTTATTATTATAATACATCTTAAATTTGTGTTAAGTTTTTATTAACTAAAATTTATAGTTGTATTACAATTCCTCCAAATAAAGAGTCGCATTTTGAGATGAAATATTGAGTGTATTTCTATTTAAATCTATAAGAGGTAACATGAATTTTTCTTTAAAAGACGTTCTTGCTTGCCATTTTTAAGGAAATTGTAAAAACTAAAGGAAAGAAGAAACAAAAAAAAGTTTCGTCAAGCTGATAATATGGTGATCATTGATCAATTAGATGCCTAGATGTCCGTGTCCAGGAGTTAGTATTTACTATGTTATCCATAAACAAATGGTTGTTATCCTTTAGATGATAACCCATTTATTTATTACTAGCATAGTAAATAATTAATACTTAATCATTTATTGAAGATTACAGTTTTTGAAAGTCTGTACTTTTATATTAATATTATTAATAGCTTTTTCTAAATTATGAAACAATGATCTTATAGCAAGTATTTAATTTAGATTAGTTTTTTGAGAAGGATTGTAACATTTTGCTTTTATAAATACATAAATGTCATATGTGAAGTTTTATATTGGTTAAAGGTACTAATTCAAATTTCTAGAGTTAAACAATATTTTATATGTATAAATTATAAAGTTGTTGATATCTTTTAGTTATTCTATTAGATCGCTTAAAATTAAGTTCAATTAACGTTTTTAATTGAAATAATTAGTAAAGTTGTTTTTATATGGCGCAAGAATAAATTCTCAGCGATATCTTTACTTTCGACTCTTCATTATTAAAAAAGAATTCACACTTTTGGTCAGTGTTTATTGTTAAAATGGGAAGATAAGCGGTTTATGCTTTTTTATATTGTTTGATGATAAAGATTAATAAAATAAATTCATATAAGATCTGAAAACCTTGCCTATTCATGTACAAAATCTGCTGTAAAATAATTTAAAAAGTTCAAATTGTGCATTAATTACTTCACTTTTTTAAAATCTTTTCACGTCTCGTATTTGCTTAGAATTTTAATAATTTATTTAACCAATAAAATAATACAAATGAATATACAATTTAAATAACTGTCCTTAAAATTTAAAACAATGTATACTAATCATAATAAATACAATAATACTTATAATATTGGTAACTAGAAACTAAAAGAGTTTTGTTCAAAACTTTTTCTGTGCTTATTGAATTCGATATTTTAAAGCTAAAAAAAAAAAATAAAACAACAAATTGAACATGAATAATAAGAAATATTAATCATTAACTATATTAATTAAAAATTTACAACTAAATATTCAATTGAGCAATATCAATTTGTAAAGATTCTATTTAATAAATGAAAAGTTTATTAGTAGTATCTTTAAAACTTGCATTTTAATTAACAAAATTATTAAATAATACCTGAAAATTCCTTGCTTATTATATTATCATTATGTTCATAATAATCGTCGGAATTTTTTGGTTCAGGAAGATTATCAAAATTAAGCAATCTACTCGCATAAAAAGCTTCCGAATGTGTTTTATATGATAATCCTAAATTAGTTGAAAGTATTTTATTATTTGATGAATTGTTGTTTATTTCGTCCGCTTTACTAATTTGTTCTCGTAATTCTGCTGTTAAACTCCATGGGTTAAAAATTTCATAAATTTCTTTTGCTGTTGGTCGATTTAATGGGTTTGCATCTAAGCAATTTTTAACTAAATCAATAATAAATTGGGGTACTTTAATATTAAATCTTGGTCTAAGTCCTTGACAAATTTTTATTGCTAAATATTGATCATGGCTGATATCGTGATATGGAGGTAACCCAGAAATTACTTCATACATAATTATTCCAGAACTATAAATATCTGAAGCTTCGGTATAATTTTCTCCTCTTAAAATTTCAGGAGCTATATATGGTAATACACCATACGCGTTGTTTTTTGCATTTACTGATGCATTATAATCCGCAGGTTTACATAATCCCATATCAGTTATATAAACTGTATCATTACCCATTAGTATATTACCAATATGTAAATCTCGATGAATTAGATTATTATTATGAATGGATTCAAGTCCCTTTGCAACATCACATAAATCTCTAATTTTTCTTTCCCAACTTAATTTATTATAATTTGTGTCTAAATAATTTCGTAAATTTCCATTTGTTGCATATTCCAAAACCATCATATAATTTTTTGTTTCCGGATCTTGAGTTATTCCATAAAATCCAATGATAATATCATTACTTACTTTGTGATGAGATGTTATCTAAATACAGAAATAACTATTAATACGATTAAAATTTTAGAATTTCATTAAACGATCAAATAAAAATAAATTATACCTCATTCATGAATTCAAATGTAACATTTTTCGAATTATTTAAACTTTTCAACGCCACAACCATATTTTTACCATATCTTTCCCAATTTTGATTTTTATCATTCCAATCCCATATACGTCCATCAATCCAATTCGCTTTATATACTTTGCCAAATCCACCTTTTGCAATATATTTAATATTATAAAATTTATCATAAGGTATCCATTCTAATACATTTCCTGCATTTTCATGAGCTGATAGTTGTGCATCTTGAATAATCTTATCAATATCATTATTACCACTAGTCCAACTTTTAAAATTTCGTTGAAAGTATATTGTATTGCATATTGAATTACACTTTTCACATATATTATTTAAAACCATCATGTAATTTTTTGTTTCTGGATTCTGAGTTATTCCATAAAATTCACGCTCTCTTTTAATCTACCAATGTAATAATATGTTAGAATAAAAAATACTTATAATCTTGTTAATAAGCTTGTCATACCTTATTTATAAATTCT